ATTACAATTCTTGGAAATTCAGGATACTCGGTAATGTAATTTCTCGACAAATAGAATCACTATCAGAAGCTTGGGTACTTGAAAGAGTCTGCAAACTCTTTTCTCCCTCCTATTTTTTGACTTCTCTTGCAACTGGTGTTATCTGTTTTTTGACAAGAAAACTTAAGTAGAGTTATTCTTAGATAAAATTAGTAATAGCTTTTCTTCACTGCTATTTGAAAAGCTCTTACATGATTTGAAAATCAAGAAGGGAAACAGGCATTTACTTGATTCCTTCTGCTTTTCATTGTCTTAGACTAAGACATTTTATTGTTTAAGACTGTCTGATTTTCTTTTAACACCAGGTGGTGGGTTTCTTGTCTGTGTATGGGTGTAAGCAAGAGCCATAGGAATTTCTCTTTATATTTTGGTTTATTTCTTCAGACCTAACACATTTCTCAATCTAGAATCTGCACATGCTTCCACAGCAGCAATTTGGTGATTACATCCAGCTTCTCGGAAAAAGTTACTTAGGGCAAAGGACATTGTTTAAGGGTAGTCATGACATCCTGACAAGGTCTGAGGATGCATATTGGGAGCTGCCAAGTCCTGGTGTGGTGCTGTAGGGTAAGCACTTAATCACAAGGTTGGTTTGAATCAAAAGGTCGGCAGTTCAATCTCACAAGCCGCTCCTTGAAAAACCTATAAAGGGTTGCCTTGAGTCGGAATCGACTTGATGGCACTTAACAATCACAAGAAGTAGGTAAAGTATGGCCAGAATGTGGAGGGCCTTCACTGCTAAACATGGGCGGCACGGGCACATTTGGGTATTTTTTAGCAGTGGTACTAGGCAAGCAGAAACTGACTAGGTTAGATTAGAAAGAAGAAACCCTAAGGATATGGAGTCCAATGAGACTTCTGAAATTCAGGTGAGGGGTAAAACATGCTTCCATGCACAAAGACCCTCCAGAACTGCATAGGTTATGACAGATGAGAAACAACCCAGCTGTTTGACATGGCTGCATTGTTTTTCAGTTGTGTTTTATATCATGCTAACATATGAAACTGCTTCGGTACAATCTCTTTCAAAGTGAGAGAAAGGGAATCAAATGTGAATAAAAAGAACACTTTATCATGCCTTCTCCTTTTCTTTGTAACCTTACTGCAGTCTAATCAGCAATTCTGGTTTGCCTGAAGACAAAATCTTTACTCTGTCTGCTTCCACTTACCTGACTCTGATAAGACTATGCAATGTTTTCTGTCTGGAGACACCTTACGACTGAGTATGAAAGCAAACAGACATAATTGCTAAACACAAAAATAGATGTGAGTTGAAAACTTATCCTTTTTGAGGAGCCAAAGCAGATACTTTCAACCATGGCTAGCTGAATTATCCTAATACTGGGGGAGAGAAAGAAAGGACATGCATCTCTTTAATAGAATGTTTTCCCAATCTGCACATTATTGTTACAGGTATGGAAGCATAATGCTAAAATGAGGTGGAAGATTTGGGAGCTGCTATCTTGCCCTGAGGTCAGCGGTTTGAAACTACCAGCCGCTCAGCGGGAGAAAGATGAGGCTTTCTACTCCCATAAGGATTTACACCCTTGGAAACCCTGTACAGGGTTGCTATGGGTCGGAACCGACTCGACGGCACTTAACAACAATCTTGCCCTGAATAGGAGTAGTATAAGCATGACCAGGTTAGGGGAATTCACAGGCTTGATATGTGAGAAACCCCAAAGCATCAGTAGTAGCTTACTATAGGAAGCTGCTGGGGGCAAAAGGAATGTGACCCAGGAACCATATTGCCTGGGGGGAGTGCTCTGGACTACCCTGGTCAGAAGCCATAGTAACATCTCCTGACATAGAAAAGGAAACTGACGAAAGAAGGAGAGCTAACCCCTGAATATTGTGAAGCTGTGTATTCACTCCAGTGCCTTTCTCTTTTCCTCCAGAAGATTAAAATGACTAAAGATATTGATTTTTTTAACCTAAAAGGCTTACTGTTTGAAACTAATGCTTGTTAAATTATTCATTATACTAGTTTTAGAAAAGCAAGAATTACACAAATGTACACCTGTGACAGAAAAATGCCATAGTCAAACTGTTCCTATTATTTGGAACTATAATACAGTATATAAAATATTGGATTTCTAAGAGGGAAGAAAAGCTCTTGCAGCACAATATTAAGTATTTGGCTGCTAAGTGAATGGTGGAGAGTTTGAACCCATTAGCTACTCTGGAAATCAGCTTCTAAAAAGATTGTTGTAGTTATAAAGATTACAGCTTAGAAAACCTTATGAGGCAGTTCTGTTCTGTCTTGTAGGGTCACACTGAGTTAGAACTGACTCAAAGGCACAAAACAAGAAGGACGAACCCTTTGGTCAAATAACAATGTGTCAATTTGTATCCGCTCTATATGTATCTGTAAGGAGTCTTGGTGTGGCTCTGTGGGTTACCATGCTGGGATGCAAGGTCAATTTGAACAACAAGGTCCATGGTTTAAGCTTACCAGCTGATCCATGGAAAGCCTATACAGGGTCGCTATGGGTCAGAACCGACTCAACGGCACTTAACAACAACAACATATGAACCTATAGTAAAAAGTTTTATTTGGATTTTTACCAATTTTGGAGGAGACACGCCAGATAATTGAGCTTAAAATGTTGCTATGGAGTAGAAATAAAATCCAGTCTGACTGGTAGGTAGCCTCTTAGAAAATAAGCAAGTCTAAGGCGCTCTGGTAGCGTAGTGGTTACGAATTGGGCTGCTAACCTCAAGGTCGGCAGTTCGAAACTACCAGCCATTCCGTGGGAGAAAGATGAGGATTTCTGCTCCTGTAAAGGAAACCCTGTGCAGGGTCACTATGAGTCAGAACTGACTCCACGGTACTTAACAACAACAACTGAGCAGTTGTAGAATGTGAGTTGCCAAGAAGCTGTTTTGCACATGGTTAGAAGTTGTACTTAACAACAACAACTGAGCAGTTGTAGAATGTGAGTTGCCAAGAAGCTGTTTTGCACATGGTTAGATCTACGTAGTGTACTTTAGAGTGAATGTCAGCAGAGAGTTGCTAATTCAGAGATGGCTAGTTATTCTCCTGACCAATGGTGGGTTTGTTAAAAGTGCATTGTTGTTATTGTTGTTAAGTGCTATTGAGTCAATTCTGACTCATAGAAACCCTGTATAGTATTTCCATGGAGTAGCTGTGGAGTTTGAACAGCCGATCTTGTGGTTCAAACTGACCTTGAGGTCCAGTGCTTTATCCCACAGCGCCACACCAAGACTAGTGCATGCTGTGTTGTTGTTAAGTGCTATCAAGTGGGTTTCTGACCCATAGCGACCTATATAGAGTTTCCAAGAAATGGCTGGTGAGCTTGAACCACTGACCTTACAGTTCAAACTGACTTTGCAGTCCAGTGCATGAACCCACAGTGACACACCAGGGCTCCAAAGACTAGTGCATAGGTATGAATAATCACATAACTACTTAACATTCCATACTATAAAAGCTGAAAGTCTAACTTTGAATCACAGTAATGCTTATGGTTTTCAAATTATTACTAATGAGAGAAGTCATAAAAAGTCAAGGGTTGAGTACACAAAATATCTCATAAGGAAAAAATTAAGAAGATTTTTTTTAAAAGAAAAAAAGCAGACATTAAAGTTCTATAGCATATGTTAGCATTTTATATTAATTACACATTTTCAGTTTTGCATCATAGCTCTGTTCTAAAATCCCATTTTAAGTTCAAATAGAAAACACATGTATTTATTCTATTTTATGGAAAGAGATGGTATGTGATATTGTTTTGATTATTTTTTGTCTAATTTCCCCATTTTTTTTCAAGTGGTATACTGTGGGTGATTTTCAAAGGCTCTTATTTGTAATATTCAGAATCTTAATCATTGTTTCCACCTTTATTGTGAGAGCACTGATTTTTCACTCTGGTTTATCTATTGGAAACCAAGTGACTACTGTTCTACTTAAAGATGCATTATGCCATTAACTGCTGAAGCTTTGCATTTTAAGTAATACTTCAGAATGCTACTACTCCGAATAGTTTTGTTCCTATGGAAAATCCATAGAAGAGAAAAAAGAGAAACCTACAGAAGTACTTTCTTTGACTTTAAAAGAAATATATTTCAGGAAAACTGGCATAATGCATCATGTAATTTCATTTAAAGCTTAGTTCATCTGAATACTTATAGCACTTTCCCTTTATGACCATGAGAATAAACATGGAGTATCTAATTCCTTTTGGTTTTAGTTTGTTTGGGTATTAAACCAAAGTCATCACAATTAGGCTTGGTGAATTACCTTCCTCTCCCACTGTGAATGCCCTGAGGCAGTAACTGCTTTTGGATCCTTATTGCCCACCTCAAGGGCTGGATGGACACACAGTGGATTCTCAATAAGTATAAACTGAATAACTGAAGAAGACAACAGTAAACAAGTACATAGATTCTAGTAAAACTGATCAATGAGGCTGCTCTGATATGTACCCCATTATCTCTAAGTTACACAGATAACTAAGAACAGCCAAGATGCCCTTTGACTGAAATTATCAGTCTAGACAGACAAAATAAAAGACTTCTCTTTTCAAATGGTACTGTGAATATCTGGTTTCTGAGAAGCATCACATTGAAAAGATAACTGAAATTGAATGTATACTTATTTTAACTACTTTTAAGGCTCACTCCAGTGACCTTCCCAAAGACTGTCCACACAACGAACACATTCAGACATGTCATGAGAATCCAATTCATGAAAGACCATGATTTTTGAAAAATCATTTCTGAAATGCTATTCTGTCAACTAAGAGTTAGAACGTAAGTGTAACTTGAATAAGTTACAAACCTTTACAATGCCACTGAATTTTTAAGGCAGCAGAAGATAGCTCTCATTAAGAACACAGACAAATATTCCAAATGTTAGAAAGCTCTGCAGTGACACTCTTACTGTGTTACCAGGGCATGTGTTCAAACCTGTAGATACATTTGTGGTTACTTCCTACCTTAAATACATTGATAGGGAGATCGATGACCACGTAGATAAGGTCTCCCAGGGCAAGACTGGCTATCAGCGCATTGGGGCCATTCCTCATACACTTGTTCTGATAAATGATCCTGAGCAGAGTCGCATTCCCCACCATTCCCACGATGAAAATAGTACAAGATATCACAGTATTGATATATTTGAAAGCTGAAGTAATTTTAGTCTGCTGTGGGCAATAGCTGTGCATTGAGCTATTGCTTGGTAGGGCCAAATTAGTGGGTTGATGGGTGGTGACCAGGAAGCTGAGCTCTGTCCCATGAAAAGTGGTGAAATCATCCACACGATCACTTAGATTGGTGTTGTATCTCTCAGAATTGTCACTGATCACACATCCAATTATCACCAGCCAAAGAGACAGCCATAGGCAAAAGGTTTTCATCTTGATGTAGAGTTGAGGAAATGTCTCTTATTGTGCTACTTTGATACTCTCCCGCTTCTGCTGTTTTCAAACCTAGAAAGAGACAGGAAAAATAATTTTGGTTACAAACTTCAATTGTCAATAAGATCACAGCCAATGATTATTTACTGCCTCAATTTAAAAACAGAATATATTTGGTAATTAGGTAGGATCAGCACTGGACCGCAAACCACAAGGTCGGCAGTTCACACCCAGCTGCTCCTCGGAAACCCTACACAGGGTTCCTAGGGGTCAGATCTGATTAGACGATACTTAACAACAAGAACAGCATATCTAAGTCAGGTTACCCTGTGGCAAAACAAAGTCAGAAAAGACCAAAGCTCAATGTATGTATGACTCCTGGTGTGGTACTGTAGAATCAACATGGGACTGTGAGCCACAAGGTCAGCAGTTCAAACTCACCATCTGCTCCTTGGAAACCCTATATTATGAGTTGGGACAGAACCTCTATGGCACTTAACAACAACAATGTATGAATGTATGTGTATGTATGTATGTATGTATGTATGTATGTATTTCCAACTCATAGTGACCCGTGGTTAAGTTTTCCCAGGAGTGGTTAGTAGATTTGAATCACAGACCATTCAGCTGGCAGTTCAGTGTTTATTCTACAGTGCCACACCAGGACTCCTCGCTATTCATATGTATACCTATATCTAGTTCATAATACAGATAAGGGTATGTCAGTTTTTCCTTTAAGTAGTAGTCCTGATGTGGTGGTGTACGATCAGCACTGGACTTGAACCACAATGTCGGCAGTTCAAACCCACCAGCTGCTCTTCAAAAACCCTATATAGAATCACCATGATGCCACAACTGACTCGAAGGCACTTAACAACAACAACAAGTAGATAAAAAGCGATTTTCCCCTCCCCATTATACCCAGGTTGATAAGAACCTAATTCACAAACACTGCAAGAGATGAGATATAAAATTATATTCATTAATGAAAGAGAAAGGGCACTATATCCCAAGTAAAAGTTATACGTATTAAAACAAAAACAAGATTACCAAATTCTATAATGAATTCAATATTCTAAAATCTGGACTGTTTTTCATACGGTGAGTAATGAAAACAAGAATAAAATTCAACACAATGATCATCTAAAGTGTTACTAAAGACTAATTTACAATAAAAATTACAAAATTGATTGACAAAAATATGAGGGTGCTTCCAAAATTTGTGGAACTATCCCCTTATCTTTTAATCTCATTTTTCCATGAACTTTTTGAAGCCCCCTTGTATTTAAAGTTATTTGACTGAAAACCTTGAAGATTACAGTACAACATCTATAGGTTCTAGAAGGAGCGTTATTAACTTTTGCATTCTTCAGAAATTATCATCATTCTGTTTGCCCAGGTGTGAAATATAATGGACTGGGAATACTGTTCTTTCACCAGCCAGTTAAACTATATGGCTTTCCAAGGTTTATTCATTCCTGGGGTTGATGTATTTTAAACACCTTATATAGTTACCTTCATCTGTGGTAGTCATTGTCCTGAGCACTGTATGTGTGTGATGACATCTAACCCATGCAATGACCCAGTGAAGTAGATACAGGTGTCATTATAAAGTTTTTGGGAACCAGAGATTCAGAAAGGTGAAGCAGCTGGATGGAACACGTAAAAAGTGGTGGATGTTAATGCTGTGATTCTAAAATCACCTCAATCTGACTTCAAAGCCTGAATGATAAACCACTCTACCATACTCCCATTCTTGCATCTAACTAGCACCTAAAAAAATTTAAGGCAGTAGTGGTTACAAATCGGGCTGCTTGCTATCTGCAAGGGTCAGCAGTTTGAAACTACCAGCTGCTCAGTGGGAGAAAAGATGAGGCTTTCTGCTCCTGTAAAGATTTACAGCCTTGGAAACCCTGTACAGGGTCGCTATGAGTCAGAACCGACTCCACGGCACACAACAACAACAACCAGTGTTCAGAAGAAGCAATGGATTCAGGAGGGTGGTTAGTCGTTTTGAAAAAAAAAAAAAAAAAAGTATTTTAATCCTCTGTAGAGATCAGATGCCTTCTTCCCTAGGAAGCCTAGGTTTCCACCCTCATGCTTATTAGAGAAAAGATGTTAGGGAAATGAGGGAGGTTAGTGGTAGCAAATAACCTATGGAAAATAAAAATGGATCCCTGCATTTCAATGTTTTGTAAATTTCGTTTCCTGTGCTTTAATATGCACTATTAAATGAAGACCACAACCTGATATATGGAGTGGCCTGTATATGTCACGCATGGTGATGTTGGTGGTTGTGGGTCATCTGGTTGGTTCAGACTCATAGTGACCCTGTATAGGATTTCTGAGGCTATAAATCTTCATGGGAGCAGAAAGCCGCATCTTTCTCCCACATGTCATATACTCTAGTCAATAATATATTTAATAAAAAAAATTGTGTCCTTTTTCTAAGCCTAATAACAATTGTTATTAATCCTTTTAGGACTTTTGATTGTTATGAGAAATCAATAGCACTCAGGTTAAGTCAATATTTGGATGAAATAAGATTTATATAACTTGTATGTAGGATATAATGTAAATGCAAAATGTAACTACATTACCATATACTTTTTTCTTTCCCCCGAGTATCTCCCCTTCCACCTCCAAAAAGCCTGAAAAAATAACAGCATCTTGCATATATAATAAAGTTGTTGTTGTTAAGCACCCTTGAGTCAGTTCTGGCTCATAGTGACCCTGTATAGGGTTTCTTGGGAGCAACCAGTAGGTTTGAGCTGCCAACCTTGTGGTTCACTGTCCATTATTGATCCTACACTGCCAACAATAGAAGTCCTATAATATAAAGTGTGTGGTGCTGTAGGTTAATGCACTGGACTGCAAAGTCAGTTTGAACAGCAAGGTTGGAGGTTCAAGTTCACCTGCAGCTCCTTGGAAACCCTATACAGAGTCGCTATGGGTTGGAACTGATTCAACAGCACTGAGCAACAGCAACAATAACATATAAATAAATTATTGTAGTCTTGGTGTGTTGCTGTAGGATGAGCACTGGACTGCAGTTCAAACTTACCAGCACCCCATGGAAACCCTATACAGAATTGCTATGAGTTGGAACCAACTGACAGCGTTTAATCGTAACAACACATATAAAGTATTAGATATGTATATCTATCTGACCTTTACAACTTTAGGTTTGTTGGTCGAGATAATGTCCCTATTTTTCTCATGAGTAAACTGTGTCTTGAGGTTAAGTGATTTGATCAAGATTTCAGTAGCTAAGATGTGACTACCAGTTGTGTTGGGTCAATTCTAACTCACATTGACCACATGTATCATAGTAGAACTGTGTCCCATAGGGTTTGTATTGGCTGAGTTTTTCAGAAGTAATCTGTTAGGTGGCTGATAACAAATTTTCAAAGCTAGGGGCATAGCATGCACTTATCACTTATATTTAAATTTTACTATAACAATTCACAGTTTTCTCCTGTTTCTTGTAATATGGAGTATATGATTGAATATTGACGTTGTTGTTGTTGGTAAGTGCTGTTGAGTGGGTTCCAACTCACAGAGACTCTATGCACAATAGAATGAAACAATGTTTCATTCTTTCACAATTCTCACAATTGTTGTGTTTGAGCCCACTGCTGCTGCCAATGTGTCAGTCCATCTTGGTGGGGGTCTTCCTCTTTTTCAATGACTCTTCACTTTACCATTCAGTGTCCCCTTGTTCTGTTCTAACAACTATCCCATGGTCTGTGTCCAGGTTCATCATATGTTCTAGAATACCCACTATTTTCAATGTTATCCATAGTCTGTCATGATCTACACAGTTGAAAACCTTTGCATAGTCAATAAAGCACAAGTAAACATATTTCTGGTATTCTTTGGTTTCATCCATGATCCATCTGATGCCAGTAATGATATCCCACATCCTCTTCTGAATCCAGCTTGGATTTCTGGCAGTTGCCTGCTGATGTACTATTTAATACATTTTGAATTGTCTCTACACTCAAGAGCAAGTTTGAGATTCTCTTCTGGCAGCTAGTTTGGTCTTTTCCTTGTTTCTTTTTTTAAATGATCTTTTCTTTTCTTCCTATATGTTTTTGATGTTATCCCATAACTCATCTGATGTTCAGTCATTAGTGTCCAATACATCAAATCTGTTCTTGACATGGTCTCTAAATGCAGGTGGAATATGTTTCTGGTCCTCTTTTGATGGACTTGTTTTGATTTTCTTCAGTTTCAACCTACATACAAGTAATCCATGGTCTGTTCCGCTGTCTGTTCCACACCTTGTTTTGGCTGATAATATTGAGCCTTTCCACAGTATCTTCCCACAATTGCAGTTAATTTGATTCCTGTGTATTCCATCTGGTGTGGTCCAAGTGTACGGCTGGCTACCTTTCATGTTGTTTAAAAAGGGTATTTGTGATGCATAAGTTGTTGGTCTTGCAAAACTCTATTATGCAGCCTCCAGCATCATTTCTCTCTCCAAGGCCGTATTTTCAAACTACTGATTCTAACCTTTGCATTCCAATCACCAGTAATTATCAATGCATCATCATTGCATGTCTGATCAATTTTAGACAGAAGAAGTTGACAGAATTCTTCAATTTAATCATCACTGGCTTTAGTGGTTGGTGTGTGTAAATATGAATAATAATGGTATTAACTGGTCTTCCTTGTAGGCATATGGATATTATCCTATCAAAGAAAGCATTGTACTTCAAGATATATCTTGAAATACTTCTTTTTGAAATATTCATTCCTCTTGAATTTGTCGTTGCCTGCATAGTAAACCACATGAATGTCTGATTCAAAATGGTCAATACTAGTCCATTTAAGCTCACTAATGCCTAAGATATCACTTTATGCATTTCATCTCATTTGTAACAACTTCCAGTTTTTGTACATTCATATTTCATATGTTCCATGTTCTGTTTATTAGTGGATGTTTGCAGTTGTGCCTCATCAGCAAATGAAGGTCCTGAAAACTTTACTCCATTCATGTCATTATTGTCAAGTCTGCTTTG